TAGAGCTTTTGAAAGAAGTTTTTCAACACCTAGTTGACATTGAGCCCTATACTGTAACAGAGTGCCTGGCCTATCATTCTCCTTGATCAGCTTATTTAATTTGTACTGTTAATATATTTTAAATGTGTGATGTCAATATATATTTTTTTAATGTGTAATTAATAAGGTGACTTTATTTGCTCAATTATGTTTAAAAATTTATGCAAATAATTTACTCTACTCTATTAAAAACGAAAACTAGGTCAATTTATACTTACAATAAAGAATGAAACTTCACAAAAAATGTATTAAGCACACAAATCCAACAAAAATGGGCAGCAAGATCAAGGCAAATATGAAAGGAATGGCAGAGAAGAAAAAACTGAGGAAAAATTTAAATAAAAAAAAGTATACTGCCGAAATGAAATTAGAGAAGGTAATGTAAAATGACATTTGAAGATAGTTATATATCTATTTGGTTGACTACTGTAGAGACAGATTAATTGTTTTTAACAAATTCCAATAATGATGAATATGTTAAGAAAAACTTGTTGGATCAAATTATTGTTAACGCTGTATGAAGTATGGTAGGAATAAGGTAAATTAAACAAAAAATCTTTACTTACATAACAGATTTATTTACAATAAAAAACATTTATTTTTTTAAACCTAATGAACTTAACAATGCTTTTGGAGAAGGGTCACGTCCACGAAATTCTCTAAAAATCTGTCCTGGATCAACACTTCCACCTAAAGCTAAAAACAAATTTCTAAATCTTTTTCCAACTTCTTTTGTTTGTTCTTCATCACTTCTAACTTCATAAAATGCACTATAAATATCAGCAGCTATCATTCTCGACCAAATATGACAGTAATATGCTGCAGCCCATTCTTCACTGAATATTTGAGTAAAGGAACATGGATGGACATCAAGTTTGTGTAAAGTAAAATTCCTATGTTCTGGCCATAATGATTTGACAATATCCAGCCAAAACTCTTTTGAGGTGTGTAATTCTAAATCTAGGGAAGCTAAGTATAGGTCTCTACATAGGTCTAATCCTGCCATATGTTTATCTGCATGAACTAATGATTTGTACATATCGTCTGGTAGTTTCTCGCCTGTTTCACAATGGGAAGTTATACTATCTATTACAGATTTATTGTTTAGCCAATGACTTAACACATGTCCACATACCTCTACTGCATCCCACTCAACATTTGATAAACCTGCTACCTCAGAGTAGTTCGTACGTGTGAGAAGATGTTGTAGATTATTACCGAATTTATGAAACAGTGACTTAACTTCTTTAAAATTCAGGAAGGAATCCTTGCTTCCTCTACAAGGCTCAAAGTTAAATATAAGAGAAGCCAATGGTATTCTATCAGTAAGAGTGCTTTTATTTTGGATAGCAACCATCCAACCAGTATTCTCAATTTTTAGTTTCAGATTATCTCTAGCATAAGGATCAAAATAAAAGCCTGCTACTGGAGCACTACTGTGTTTTTCAAATATATCATAGAACTTTACATCTTTATGCCACACAGTAGCTCCATTTCTTTCTTTAATGTGAATATCAAACAGTTTTTCACACAATTTAAATAAGCCACTTAAAACAGTCTTTAATGGAAAATATTGTTTAATATCATTTTCACTATATGCATATAAAGACTGTTGTTGCTTTCTTTTCCAATAAGGCACATCCCACAATTCAAGTTTATCATCCTCAAATCCACTGTCTACTGCAAAATCATACAACTGTTTAACTTCTGCATCTTGGGCACTTTTTGCAACTTCCAATAAGCTTAGTAGAATATTTTTAATTTCTGCAGTATTTTTGACCATTTTGGTTTGCAGGGACATGTCTGCAAATGTTTCAAATCCAAGTATTCCAGCTACATCTCTTCTAAGCATACGAATTTCTTCAATATGTAAACTAGTTGATAATTCACTGTCTCCCATTTTACTGCCTCTACTAACTAAAGCCTGCCATAAATTCCATCGTATATCCCTTTCTGAGCAATATTCCATTACAGGCATGTAACTATAAGGTTGGAGATTTACCTTCCAAGGTCCATTATCAGAGTTATTTGGGTCAATTGCTAGTAATTTTAGAACAGACTTTGGTATATCTTTTATAATTGCTGGATCTGATATTGTTTGTGTAAACCGTTTAGTCGACACCTCTGTCTTTTGTCTAAAAAGAGTTTTCTCCTTATTTAATTTGTTTAAATACTCACTCAAAATGGTCTTTTTTGTAGAATCTAGCTCTAGTCCATTTAACCTACCTTCAGTAGCAAATTTTTGTAAAATTCTAGATTCTTCACTACTCCTCTCAGTCTTAGTATTTAAAGCTGTTTTAACAGCACTATAAATGCCTTTACTATTATACTTTGAAGCTCTAGCTTTTCTAGCCCTTTCATGGATGGCCATATAACTTGATGTTGGCATTAAAGTACTGTTACCTAAGTATAAAGTCTTAGATACACCCCAAGTAACATCAAGAGGTCCACCTACTACTTCTAAAGGTTTAAATATTTGCTGAAAAATATCGCCTTTTGGATTACTTTCTATCTCTTTTTCAATATTTTTTACACCTTGTTCAAACTCGAGACTCTGTTTAGCAATAGCTGCCCTACAATTTTCAATAGTCACATTGTTAAATTCTGGTAAATTTGAAGACTGTTTGGAATCTTTACCATCTACATCTTCTCCTATCTCAGGAACCCTAAAAAGAAACTGTTAAACGAGTTGAAGTACGATATTAGTCTCATACTTACAGTATAATATATCCATGTTGATAGCGATATGAGTTTAAAATATTTCTTTTCAACAATGTTCGAGACCAATTCTGTGCGAAAATCATAGTTTAAACAAATAAATATATTATGGCAATAACTTTTTTAAATCCGGGCTAACCTAATACTTCTTCTCTTCTATGAGTCTTCTATTAGGTTAATTCAGTAAATTCAGTTGACTTCATTGTCCTAATCCCTAATCAGATATCAGTTATTTATCGTAAATGACATTCACTGGCTAGATTCTAGAGTTCACATTAAATTTATTGTAAATTTGAATTTTATTTCTTATTCTCATTATTACTCACACAATTAAGTGTTTAAAAAATTAAATGTATTTATTTTAACATGGTGTTGACACGGTTGACACAGAATAATAAACAATCAGAATGCCCACTCTGCTTAAAAAAAGATAGAATGACAGTGGCTGGTGGTGGCACAGAATAAACACAGAATAATAAACATGTAATAAACACATAAACAATCAGAATGCCCACTCTGCTTGAAAAAATAAGTACGTGCATCTGGTTCGCGCAGACGGAATCAGCTATGTTTTAAACGGAACCACTGCTGTATAGACATAATATGCACTATTTTATTCGTATTTTTAGTTAAGGAATACTTTAAATTATTTCAAATGTACTTTAATTATTTTTCTCTAAAAATTTAAATTACAGTTCTGTCGTTTCTTGTCACAAATTTCTAAATTCGAGTCTATGTTTCCGTTTAAAACATGGCGATAGCGTACTGAAAAACTTCAAAGGCATCATCTGAGTTCTGTCGTAACTTGTCACAAATTTCTCAATTCAAGTCTATGATTCCGTTTAAAACATGGCGATAGCGTGCTGAAAAACTTCAAAGGCGGCATCTGAGAGTGGGCATTCTGATTGGTTCTTATTCTGTGGAATAAATCGGATACAATCAGAATGCCCACTCTCAGATACCGCCTTTGAAGTTTGTCAACACGCGATCGCCATATTTTAAACGGAATCATAGACTCGATTTGAGAAATTTGGGACAAGCTACGACAGAACTGTAATTTAAATTTTTAGAGATGAATAATTTAGTACATTTGAAATAATTTAATATATTCTTCAATTAAAACGTACGAATAAAATAGTGCATATTATGTCTGTAGTCTCCGTAAATAAATTAAACCTGGTTAATTTGCCTGGTTAATTTAGAATTTTGATTCTAACTCGATGTGCACACTAGATAAAACATGGCTGATTCCGTCTGCGCGAACGACAGTGCGTACTTATTTTTTCAAGCAGAGTAGGCATTCTGATTGCGTATTATCATAGTATAAAAAAGAATGTTAAATTGGTGGTTAAACTGTGGTATACTCCATTCGCTTAGCTCGGGCACAGAATAATAAACAATCAGAATATCCACTCTCCATGGAAAATTAAGTACGCGCACCTCCTTCGCGCAGACGTTCCGCCATGTTTTAGGTGGAACCAGTGTTGTTTAGGTGGTGTGCATAGAAAAACTAACCCTGTTTAATTGACTTACGGCAATCATAGACATACTATACAATTATATTAACATTGTTAAATATAATAACATAAATGTAATATAATTGAACATAAATATAAACAATTACATAACCTCACAAATCATATGTCTGTGTTATGTGTTTACTTCTAAAACATGGCGCACGTACTGAAAAACTTCAAAGGCGGCATCTGAGAGTGGACATTCTGATTGTTTATTATTCTGTGGTTAAACTGTGTTCGTAGTTCTCTGGTTAAACTACAAGCACAGAATAATAAATAATCAGAAGGGCCACTCTCAGATGCCGCCTTTGAAGTTTTTCAGCACGCGCGCCATGTTTTAGGAGGGCACAAACATATGATTTGTGAGGTTATGCAATTGTTTACATTTATGTTTAATTAGCCAATATTATATTTATGTTATTATATTTAAAACTGTTAATATAATTGTATAGATTGCCGTAAGTCAAATAAACCTGGTTTTTTTCCATGCACACCACATAAACAACACTGGTTTCCTTTAAAATCCTCATAAAACATGGCGGAACGTCTGCGCGAAGGAGATGCGCGTACTTGATTTTCCGTGGACAGTGGGCATTCTGTTTGTTTATTATTCTGTGCTACAAGGTACAAGCAAATATTTTGTGTTCTGTCACAGAATAAACCATCCACAACACATAAGTTGACAGGTGTATTCTGTGATTCTGTGCTGTTAATGAAATGTCATAGGCGGAGAACACGACAACCTTTCAAGGCTTTTAGAAATCAATAATAAATAAAAAACCAATGGAGAAAAAATGGCGGCCGTAATGGTGACATGTGTTGAAACACCTACAACTAATTCAACAAAAACTAGTTTGGAGAAAATAGAAGGGTAAGTTTACACCTAAGACTTTACCAAGATAAGATATGACACATAATAAATACAATTGTTTACCAATAAGTACTTGTTTTATCACATTACACCGGCAAGATTGGTTATTGATTGTGTAAACCGTTTAAAATGACTAGGCGTATACAAGCTTTATTACGTTTTTGATCAATTTCTGAATAAACATTAATATATTTAGATGATAGACAAAGCAAGCCTAACTGAATTAATTTGCTACCTTTATCTCTTTTATTTATTTTCCAGTTAACAGTCAACATAAGATTGATTATTGCCAAGATATTATCAAACTATATTCTTTGATATTATGGTAGCAGGGAGCCATTGTTTTCACATACATATTTCTGAATGTTGTAAAGTAAGAAACCTATGGTACTGATGATTGTCACTGATGTTTTGATTTTCCTACTTTTTAAGGAATACTACTAAATTTCCTAAACTCATTAATCCATTCTTCAAACCTCCTTAAAATCGCTTTTAATCATAGTATTTTTTTTCACTTTTTGTTAATGGACTTATTTTACAAATACTCTTCTATTCTTCATTTATGTCTTTAATTTTATTGATAAAATACTATCTAACTAATGGTTTTTAGTGTTACTAAGTGACATTTACCTTTCAAAGTAGAATAATAAAATATTGAACCTGAATTAATATTCAATTTTAACATTACCATGTGTTTTTACAATTTTGACTCAATTTTAATTAAACACAATTAACACATTTAGATTAAAGGTTGTACCTGATACAGCACACATTATTTTATTTTTACACACGATACCTAAAAAATATTTCTAGGAGTTCATTCAGGTAAAAAATATTGATAATTCAAAAGAACACCAAACAGATATAGACATTGGTGCCACATCACAAAAAATTTTGTGTACAAGACATTTTCAAGCTGTAAAGAGGTGTTACTAAGCCTTCCTTGAATCTAACAAGATTTATTCTTTTTTGTGTTCCTTTTTTATCTAGAACAAAGAAATTCTAAATGCTAATATTCGATAAACATAATAACACTTTTTTGTACTATCTAATTGTACTGTGAGGTCAGCGGTAATAACTTAACATTTAACCCCTACTGTCAATTCTGGACCTATGTAGATTGGTGTGTGGATTTCGGGAGGTTTCTACGTCATAACTATTTCAGTCACTTTAGATGATAATCATTTACAGCCCTAGTACCTTATAGGGAATTGTACCTGCATTTGATGCCTAACGATGTTGGTTCAATTCTCATTACAAACTAGTACAGGTTATTTACACTTGTACTTTCTCACCTATATTAAACTCTTCAGGAACAAGAGTTGAAAACTGATTATGTACCTTGCAGAATTATCAAACCTTGCATGACTCTCGTGCAGTATTGCTCATCTCCAACTTTTCCTCTACTAAACACCTTTATACAATTAGAAGATGGGAAAAACAAGAAAAGATACTATAGATGCTCAGTGCCCCACAGTAATTAAAACTTACAATAAATTCGTGGGCAGAGTAGATCTTACGAATTCACAATAGGTCTATATAGAATTACAATTAGATGGAAGAAATATTACCATCGTTTTTTTTTTTCATTTTATGGATGTGGCAGATGTAAATTTTTGGTTTTTATATACATGGGACTGCAATAATTTTGGGTTCCAAAGAAAAACGAACTGTCCCTGTTTGGGTTCAAGAGCCACATAGCTGAAAGCCGAATAAAGCAAGGAAAGAAACTAACAATTAGCAAGAAATTGGGATATCCCAACAGTAGCTCTATTGATGATCTTATTGCAGCAAAAAACAGAAGTTCAGCTACAAAAATTATTCTTCAAAAGGATATTAGACTGGATGAAATAGGACATTGGCCTGCTATGAAAGATAAAAGAGGATCATGTCGAAAACCTGGTTGTAAAGCAATTTTTGTGCAATATTGTAAGAAGTGCAACATCTACTTATATATTAATAAAAATTCGAATTGTTTTTATAATTTTCATCATAATTAAAATTTGTTTTGATTAAAATTTTATAATTAATTTAATTATATAATTTGAATAAAGTAATACTTTATTCAATGTTAGAAGTATTATTTAAATTTTAAAAATACAGACAACATATTATGAAGCTTTGTGCTGGCGCTGGTCTACAGTACCGCCCACTGTTCCACTTTTTTTATCATTTTATGTATTCAAATAAAAATTTAGGATTATTGATCATTAAACCATATCCTTTTTTATTACAGGTTTATGAATGAGGCTAGCTACAATGAAGCAATTGAGAGTTCCAGCAATTTCAATACAAGGCTATGCATTGAAAGACGGTTACGCCTCCCCTTCATTGATACTCAAACAGGGGTGGCCCAAAATCATTGCTCTTTATTTATGAATAAGAGACAAAGGATACCTGGATTACATCCAGGGCAGATATATTCTTATCCTAGACAAAGATGGAGGAAAAGGAGGAGACAGTATTTATCAATGAATGCAAGAGCATTTGCCAGAGCTGCTGACCATTTATTAGATGGACCAGACACTGATATGCATAGCATTTCCCAAATTGAAAATCCAGCACTCCAAGATACTGATAGTAAAGATAGTCAGTTGTTAAAGGATGAAGTTTCAAAGGTTTGTTCAGTAAATACACTTCATCTAATTTACATACTGTTGCATGTCATTATCTACATCAGAGATCGAAGTTGACATAGTTGCCAAAGTATAAAAAAATCCTAAATCCATTTTAAATCAAATAAGTCACATAATTATTGCAAAAGTATTACTATCTCTTTACAATGACTATTTAAATTCTTACGTGACATTTTTTAAATAAAACACACTAATTTTGTTCTAAAAAGAACAGATTCTATTAAATAGGTAAAAATATAAAACAAGAGGTATTCACTTTAAAATAACATTAATAGAAATCTTTAAATATTATTTCTACGCGTATATAATAAAATATGTCTAGTGGCTGTAATGCCAATGTACTCGGCAAAGCGATTCTAAAAAAGAACACACCTACCGCCTAAATATTTCGTGTTGGTATCATGTGACGTCACGGGCTATGACGCCGATGACATACATCGGTATGTAAATTAGATGATGTATAGTTAACCTTAACATACTTAACCTTTTCACAGCAGCTAGCGTTGGTGTTTACAGCAATGTTGTTTCCAGTACACCTGTTGCCTTTATAATGAGTGTCTTAAAAAGGTACAGATTTTTATGGCTGTCACAGTCAGGCCCTTAAATTTTCAAATATATTGTAAAATTTGCTGTATCCTAACTAATACAGGAAATATAAAATATTTAGTCAGATAATTCCAACAAGTAATACTAAAAAAAGTCACAGATATTTATACAGTTAGTGCTGTATGAACATAAAATTATTTTACATATCTCTCTGGTGCTCTCGCAGTGAAAAGGTTAATAAAAACTATCTGTTTCAAGTTGGTCATGGAGAATATCTCTTTCTTAACTTTAGTTAAGGAATTTCGTAAAGGACCTGTACAAACACAAAATTATTTTACATATCTTTCAGGTTTCCATAGTGAAAAGGTTAATAAAAATTATTTGTTTCAAATTGATCATTGACATTTATATATATTTCTTAACTTCAGTTAAGGAACTTCAGAAAAGGACTTATCTTCTTTTATTGTTAATATTCCATGTAACTGCATGAAAATACTCAATTCTTTGTATGCATTTCCTTCCAGGTCCAACGCTTTTATGAAATTTTTAATGATTCCTAATTTTATGTACTGGGGGTGGTTATAATTTTTTTTAATCATTAAATGTGAAATTTCAATGAAGTTTTTGTTTTACAATCTAAATTCTTCACGTTAACACCAATTTTGTTCTTTATAGTGGTAACCTCCAAGCACATTAAGTACATATTTTTGGTGTGACCCAATAATAGTGCATACCTCTTAAGAGAGCCACTAGTTTTAAGCACAAATTTTCCACTGATTATCATTACAATGCAACAATTTGATTATTTTTTAGTGATACATATCTATGTATGCATTTGGGCTCAATGCAATCGGAATGGAAATTTTTAAAATTGGTGTTGTGTATAATTGGTAACCATTTTCCAACTGATTTTTGACGAATCAATAATCGCCAATTAGAAAGGCTTTATTCGTTTTAGATTGTTAAAATCTAGTCATGGTTTTCAGTGCAATATGATAGTAATTTATTCTTAGAGTATATTCGTAGCAATTGATACCTCCATATATACAAACATCTACTGTCAAAATTGGCAACTCATCAAGATCGTTTCCTTTATTGCTTTTATTGCATAATTGCTTCATGTACAATCGATTGACTCCTGAATAAAATTTGAGATTATTTCTGAACAATTATCGTGGAAAAGTTTGTTAATATACTGTGATCTACAAGTCAGCTGTTGTTCAGTGCCCTATGTCAGAATGTCGTTCTTATGCTTGATCTTTATCCATTGTTCATGAGTTTACTTCAATTATGTGTTTGATTTTTTATGTGGAATAAAGCTGTTATACTTTTTTTTATACTCATTGATTTCTTTGTCTGTAATGATTGGGAGATATTGGTTTGTAGTGGCAATACTAATAAGAGCATTATTGTGTGCATTACTTTAAACTGAAAATATAAATGTGAAGTAACACATTTTGTTCTAACATTATATTCAGATTTGGAGTCATCTTTATAAATGGAATAGCTTTCTTATTTCAATAAATTCAAAAGGAATTTCAGATTAATGTGGTTAATGTCTCTGTTTTTTTTTGGTATTGAAAGAATGTAGTGTTGATTTCGGAAGCTTTGATTAACCAAGTAGGGGAAGTTTGTATATTTTTTATGAAGAATCTGGAATTGTATTTCGATTCTTTGGATGTTCAAGTTTTTGGATAACATTTTGTAACTGTATTTCCAAAAACTGGATGAAGTATATTCCAGCGACTAAAGGTATATATTAATGAGATAAGAACTTTATTGGTGTTGTTCTAAAGCCTGTGGTAAGTGCTGTGTTCTGAATAGTTTTGAGTTGACTGAGGGTAGAATTTTTAGCAGAATCATATACCTTATATATTATTGAAAAGAAGTACTATTTATTTTAGATGTATCTTTGTTGTTTATGACTTTTTGATTTAAAAATATACATTTAGAAAATGTATCTACTCTAATTATTCTATAGGAATGGTTTTATGATGAGGCTGATATGCTGGAAATGGATGCTTATGATGAACCTGATCCAGATTCTGATGTGGATTATGAGGAATGCTACAGTAAAAGACGGAGAGGACGTAGGGGTGCAGGAAGAGTAAGTACCTATTGTTTTTTCGTATGGAGATACCAGAAAATATAAAATATAGTGTGTTTTCTTCTTAAAATACTTTTTACCTATATATAATAATACAATTTATAATGACATTACAATGTTTGACGTTGGATATATTCTTATAATTTTTCAGCTTATTGTACAACTTAATTTAACACATTATTTAACATAAATTGATGGAATAGATACATAGCTCTCAGCTTCAAATGTTGATATCCTGATTCTGAGCTTTAAATGCAAGTTCTAGGAATGGTAAAGCCATGATGTCACTATTATCTTGAAAGTTTTATTCATACATCAACCAAGCAGTAACGGAACCAAAAAAGGATCATTGAGAACAGATCATGACTGATAATGACTGATGTTTTTTGTATAAAATTGGTAATAGGTGGTTTTAAAGCACTGGGTTCATTTCTTTCTTTTCTCAGTTCTGTTATGACTATTTATTTCTCCTCGTCTTATTCTTTTCTTTTATCCTTTTCTATCCAATCTATTTTTACTATTATTTTTAAACATTCCATCCTTTAATTGCTTCTTATTCTTTTTGTGGTGCCACTTCTATCTGGGATTGGATGTCATCGTAACTTTATTAACTGTTCTTCTAAAAAGTACATTTGAACTACTACACCTATAGTGTCACGCAAGTTCTTCAACCAGGATATTTTTCTTCACCCTTCAATTCTGTTTGTTCTTATTTTCTTTTGCATGATATTTCTAGGCAGCGGGTATTTTTCCTACTCATATATCCTACATACTGAACTTTTCTTCTTTTGTCTTTTCTGTCATTTTGTATGGTATCGAATCTAGTACCTTAAACGAAGATATGTGCAGAAGATTGGAATTGGTGGATCTAAGTGTACTTTTTCCAGACTGGCATAAAACTCTTCTATTCTTTCTCTCTTTTGTCTGCTGCGAGTACATACAATAAAATGAATGGACCCTGTTTCAGCTTGAAATTGTAGTAGAAAAATGATTTTATCAGAGTAAGGGACAAAATTTACCTCTGATCTACTGATTCTTGTATTTTATCTTCTTTCTTGCTTATTTTCTGCTGTACTATCTGCATTCTCTTTTTTCGGAATCTCTAACTTTCTGCAACATTTTTTAATCTGCCCTTACTACTTTTATGTCATTCTTTAGCTTAATTTTCATGATTCGTAGGCATTTTCAGACGATCATTTCTTCTGATCGTCTGTAGAGTCATCGCTATTAAATTATATTTGGAATGTGTTTGTAAACCTTTTACCCAAATCCACGCCTATGATTTTATATGATAAAATGTATTATTTGATAAAAATAAATTTACAGCTTATAATCCAGTGTTCTTTTTAGCCTAAGTCTCTTATCAACCATTGTCAGTTTACCATTCTTTTTTACACTTTTTTCAGTGTCGCAAAAGGTCATCTTACGTCTCAAAGCTTCAGATGTTTGACCTTTACCATCAAAAATACAAAAAACTACACTTGCATTACTTTGTCGGGATCTTAAACATATTACTGCGTTCACACACGCAGTAATGTGTTTGTAGTGTACTGCATACACTCTTAAGATTTTAATTACATGTAACTTAAGTATATTTTGGTGCCCGTTACCTTTCAAAATTTAAATTTATCAAAAAAAAAAACGAAAATCTGTAAATATTTTAAGTGTGCATCCTGAGGACTACGTAATACGCATCTAGAAGAAACAATAGCCTGTCGTTTCTACGTAAAACGAAGATTTAAATTCTAAAATATTAATTATACACTACAAGGCCACCTAAGGCCATAATAGACCTCTTAGGTCGAGTGGAGGGGTGGTTAAGCGCCTCATATTGAACCTAACCTACAATACAAGACCTTACTATAAGTAAAATTTTTAGTTTCAAAGAAATGATTAAATAAAAAACCTTTTTCAAGTTCATCCATTTTCAACATATTTTCAGTTTGCTTGTTACTGATGATCTTCTTGACACTTACTTAACTTAATTTAAAGGGTCGTAGCGGCACCGATTCACCAAGCACGCCTAACAAGAGAAAAGGAGCAGGACGGGGAAGGAAAAAGTCCAGTCATAATTTTGAACCCACCCCCGGAGATCCTGATAAACCTTTTGCATGTGAACGTAAGTTGCATCAAATAATGGCTTTTAAATTATTCTTTATAATAAAGTGTAGTTGGTTTTTATGTTTTCGTATGTTTTATATTTTATTCAAACATTTCCTTTAATGAATTAGGGTCACAAACTTAACATGGTCATTTGCAAGTGATAGTTTTTTGTCATAATAGGTTTGTTTGGTTTAATGGCATTTTTATATACATAAGGTGCGGCTAACCTTAGTCTTACATTTTGGTTTACTACATATCAATTACAATTGTTGGTAATATATATGATACTCGAGGTTTCTTGATATTTTAGTAATGAAAAGAATATAACTCGAAAGAGAAATGTATAGATACAAAAATATCACATCCAAAATAAGATACATTTGGTGTATACAAGAAAGTCAAGGAAGTAACAGGCAAATTCAAGAAGAAACCAATTGAATAAATTAAAAATGTATATTACCCGAATAACGAATTTGCACTGATTTTGTATCGAATTTACAACAAAGAACTCCGGGAGACGAAGCCCAAGTGCACCAGGTGCCTGGGAGAACATCGTTCTCATGATATTTATGTTCAGTTATCTCCGATTTACAAATTTATCATTTTTCATCCCTTCGAAATGCACTTTGTAAACTTATTTTCCTTGTTCAATAATGCAAATTTTCATTTCCATAGTATCATTTTTGTTCACAAAATTTCCTGACATTCATAAAAATCTAATGCAAAAAATTTCATTGAGATTCATCGTATTGCACAAATTTGGTAGATTAATTGCTTCATTGTCGCCTACATTGAGAAAATGATAGAACGAGTGTAAACATACACATATTTTGGCAAAGTATTAGATGAACAGTCCTACCAATCCCAGGAAATATAATTAAGAATTGAAAAAAGCAACAGCTTTAATAAAATCCAAGTCTCCAAATTCTAATAACAATGTTACAATATATTTACTGTTTCATGGCAGAGAGGAATTGATATTTGGTAAAAATCATTATTGACTTTTTTAAAAAGTTGCCCCCCTCCCCTGAAAAAAGTAACAGCAATTAGTTTCTTTTAATATTATATAAAATAAAGCATGAAAAAAAGGTAAAATGTTTGAATAAAGTTATTACTTACTTTTCATTGGTTAGGTTGTAAAGCATCAAGCTGCTTAGCATGACAATGATAAATAATCTTTTTTGACATCAAGTGATTAGTAGAATAATCGTAGAAAAAAATGGTATTTCATCGCTTCATGCTTTAGGACAGCTTATATTTATTATTTAGGCAGGGACTCGAACCGAAACCATGATTTACCAAATATCCTTAATTTATTCTTTATTTTAAATGGGAAACATAGACTAACTTGATTTTCTTGTTATAAAGCAACTAGCAGTAATATTAAAAATAATATGAGTTCAAAATGAATAAATAAAGAAGAACCTTAATGACTTCACGTGTCTAGAATATTCAAGAATGAAGATATCTTCAGACAAGAAAGTCTGTCTAGAATATTCAAGAATGAAGATATCTTCTGACAAGAAAAGCTGACTGCTTAGGGTTGCCAGGCAACAAGTTCAAATGCTTCCCTTGGTTAAGCCTTTATTTTACAATTATACAGGTGTATATCATTATTGTTTCTTTGAAGGTGTTGCTTTATTTATTAGTGTATCTTGTTAACCATAAGGTGCTAGATTTGTTATGGAACTATTTGGGTATATAAGTTAACAAGACAAGATACAATTGATATTACAGTAAATATAAAGCTCATGGACATACTACATATATAGTTTGGTAAATTGCCATTTTTTATGTTAATAAATATTAATAATAATGTAAGATTGGTGTGTATACAGTACTGTCAAGACTTCTTTGATTTTTTAATGAGGTAACTTGTTATTTCTTCTTTGTGGATACCTGGGTTGTTTGACGCGCATACCAGATAATTGTAACTTTGTTTCATCAAAATTTATTTCGTCATTTAATTCCACGGCTTTAAACCCATATGAATGGTATACATCCTAGTACCCAGTTCATGATGGAGAAGCAAACTGATTGATCCCTACCGTTTCTCGACGATCTCATAAAAAAAAACCAATTTCAAGGTTTTTAACACTCTGTTTACCGAAAACTCATACCAACTGCTACTTGCATGCCAACTCTCATCAACCATCTACACAAATTAATTCAGCCATTAATACTCTTGTCTCCAAATCAATACGCATTTACGATAATGTAAGTAGATATTTAAAACAAGCCATCATCCAAAATGGTTACCGAGAAAATCACATCAATATGAGCATTCACAGCTTACAGGCATCAATCTCCCGCTCAATCTCAACCCAAAGACGCTTCTCATCATATGGAAACTTTTTTTCTTTGTATCAAATGTCTCACTGACGAAATCTTCAAATCAAGAGGAATAAAGACAATATTCACCTCACAACAAAATTCCTTGTTCAGACTTCCCCCTGATCTTACATAGGTCAAACTAATCATAGAATCCAAAATAGGATTTATGTACATTCCATTTCTGTTCGCAATTCCGATTCAATTTCAGCTATAGCTCAACACCGTCTTCATACAGGTCAGAAGATTGATTTTGAAAACTCTAGAAACATAGCCCTTACCCATTTCTCTAAACCAAGAATTTTCCGAGAAGCCGTAGACATTGAAAAATGACCGATTGTCTCATTATTAGAGATGACGGCTCCTTTCAACATGGAGGCAAGAAAATATTGTCCGCTGCACTTCTCGTACTTACTGACTAGCGCACGGCGTACAATGAATTTACGTAATGTAGCTAACATCTTGGTTATAGAAAGGAAAAAAGGACCGAAGAGACGACGCACGTCAGACAGAGTAAAATTGGCTGTGATTAATGATACATGAAGAAAAAGAAGAAGAAACATAACGGAAGAGGGCGAATGCTATGTTTCCGAAGCCAAAAAAAACCGGAACGTTTCAGCTAAGTTAGAAAATCCTTACAGAAAACCTTGGTTCTACAACTGTTGGTAGAAACGATGGACAAATTCCTCATATTTGGGAAAATCAATTATCACATCAAATCAAATTAAGTGTCCGGGACGAATCAAAGATACGATAATGGCAAAGAAAGCGGACAATGAATATGGTTAGCTGGAATATACAAGGTATTTGTACAAAAAGACAGGAGGTACTAATTGGCGACTATACAGTATTGGAAGATTCAAAACGGAACATACGAATTATTAATACAATTATTAAGATCCCCTGACCTGCAATTACCCAGTGTAAATTTCAATATAACGTCGCGATGTCTTATAATTAATTCATTTGTTCGACTGGATTGCTACTCCTTGGCGATTTCTAGTAGCGTATTCGACAGGTGTACGTCGACACTGTTGTCTATCGTCCACTGATTTTCTGTTTTTGTGCAGATAATAACAATGTTTTATTAATAACAATTTTTTTGTGTTCATTAGGTATTATTTGAATTGGTTAGTGTATAGTTTAATATATTTATTATTCCAAATATTGTTGATAATTTAAAATTTAAAAGGATGTATATGATACATCAAAATCTACAGATTTTTGCCGAAGGTATCTATCGATTTGGCAACAGTCCCAAGGAACATCACTGGCCGAGCAAAACAAATACATGCCCTTTGCTTTGCTTCTCATTATAACGCCATAAGCTGAAATAAAAGTAGTGTTTCTAACCATAAACCATGTATACAAACAAAGAAAAAGTACAAATTTTAAAATGGTATTATGGGGGCAACTCGTACGGTGATATTATAAATTTATTTACTTGTGCGTATGAAGATAGGCCAATACCGACACAATCAACTATTAGTCGTATTATTAAGGTGCGCACGTGCACAGCAGTCGAAAAATATCGACTGGAGAAGGAGTCCAGTCGAACAAATGAATTAATTATAAGACATCGCGACGTTATATTGAAATTTACACTGGGTAATTGCAGGTCAGGGGATCTTAATAATTGTATTAATAATTCGTATGTTCCGTTTTGAATCTTCCAATACTGTATACACTTTTACCGTGGAGTAAATAAAAACGGAAAAGCAAAGAGAGCTGTGTCCATTGCTATACAAAAATTGTATAAAAAGAACATTTAGAGTTGGAATGAGATCAAAGAAAGAATAATAATAAGTTGTTATTGCCGTAGTATACGATTTCATGTTATGCGATGACGCAGATGTCATGACATCGTCATGATTTCATAACGTAAGACGAATTTTATGAAAAACTGATTCAAGTTCTAAGAAAAGCTCATTTTGGAGATCTGAATGTGCACAAACGGGAGAGGCCAACAACAGTAGAGTCATTGGAAAATATGGAGAAGATTCTAAAAATGATACCGGTCAAAAATTTATAGATTTATGTGCAAGTCTATCCTTGACATGCTCCTCAGAAGTTCTTAACTGGTTGCTTGCGTAATTCTAACCCATTCTTCCTGTGCAACAATTCGTAATTCTGCGTAGAGTTAAGGGCTGGGAGACTCAAGAGAGCGGCACCAACACAAACAAAAGTCAGAGTCGAAGGACTAAATATATAATCCACGGAATACTTATACAAAAAAAGAAAATATTGCTGTAAATGGAATATTAGAAAACTATAAAATACCATAATTAATGCAGCAATAGAATCAGATTTGAGAAGAAGTGAAGACAAAATGTGAAGAAAAGAAGAAAGTCTTTTTACAATACAGAACACAACAGGCATACAACCACTATAAACGAATCAGAAATGAAACGAATACTTTAGCTAGACAAATAAAGAAAAAACACTGACAGAGCTTCTTACAACAGATGGAACACGACTTCTACGGAACACAAAAAGAATATGAAGAATGATCACAGGACAAAGAAAATAGATTAACGAGCAAATAAAAACGAAACACCTTCAGAAGGAAATATGGGCAGACTACTTTCGATTACTATTTGCTAAAGCTGACGATAATGAACTACCAACAGCAAAGGTGACGATAAACGAAGAAATAAATGTTGTGGAGGAAGAAGTAAAGGAATC